TTAAAGACACACCGAGTTTATGGATCAGAAAAGTCAATATGTCAGTTCTTCTCAAACCAATCAATAAGATTCAGTGCAATCCCAATCAAAATTGCATACAATAAATATTTTTGTAGAAATTGACAGATTGATTTTCAAAGTCATAAAATTCAGAAGGCCTACAACAATTAAAATGACTATGAAAATGGATGAAGTTGAGGTACTAGCACTATCTGATCTCTTGACTTTTTAGTATTTGAGACAGTGTGGTATTGCCATAAAAACAAATAGATCATTGGGAAAAATTGGGTCCAGAAATAGGCTCACACATATATGGACAACTGATTTTCAACAAAGGCAACTCAGTGTAAAGGCAACTCAGTGGAAAACAAATAGTGCTGGAACAATTGGATAGCCACAAAAATATTTACTTTGACCCATACTTTGTTCCATGTATAAAATTCAACTCAAAATGGATTCGAAGCATAAATGTAAAACTTAAAACTATAAACTTCTAGATGAAAACAGAAACTCTTTATGAACATGAGGATAAACAAAGATTTCTTAAATACGATACCAAAAGCACAGGTTATAAATGGCAAAATTGATAAATGAGACTTTATCAAAATTAAAATATTTGTTCTTTGAAAGAACTGCTAAGAATAACAGAAGACAATGCAAAAACTGGGAAAAATTTTCAAATCACATATCTGATAGAGGACTTACATTCAGAAATACCAAAAGCTCTCAAATATCAAGCATAAGAAAACAAAAATTCAACTTAAAAATAGGCAAAATATTTGAAAATAGTTTAGCAAAGATTTACTAGTCACAATTGAGTGATTGAGCACATTAAAAGATTAAACATCAACATTATCATTCATCAGAGAAATACAAACTAAAACCACAGTGAGGTACCACTACATACCTATTAAAATGCTAACATTACAAAGGCTGGCCATAACAAGTGTTGATGAGAATGTGAAAGATCTGGAATGTTCATACATTGTTGATGGAAATGTTAAGTAATACAGGCACTTTGCAAAACAGTTTGGTATTTTTTTCCAGTTAATCATATATCTACCATATGATTCAACCATTCTACCTCTAGAAAGTTACCTAAGAGAAATGAAAGTATACATCTGTACAAAGACTTTTCATGAATAGCCATAGCAGCTTTATTTAAAATGGCCCCAAATGAGAAACACCCCTAATTCCCACTGACAGGTGAATGAATAAACACACGATGGTATATCCATGTGCGAAAGAGTGCCCAGCAATAGGAAATGAACTGCAAATATATTAATGAATCTCAAAAATAATTGTGAGTGACTAAGTGAATAAAATCAGACATGATTCTATTTATATAAAATTGATACTAAATTCTAAGGAATTCTAACTAATGTATAGTAAAAAAAAAAAAGTAGATTAGTGGTTGCTGGGGGGGTATGAAGGGGAGGGTGGTGGAAGGGGCAATGTGGGATAAAAGGAAACTTTTGGAAACTTTTGGAAGTGGAATGTTCACTATCTTGATTGTGATGATGGTCTCATGGGTACATGCTTATGTTAAAACTTACCAAATTGTACAATTTAAATGTGTGCAGTTGATTGCATGTCAATTACACCTCAGTAAGTCTGTTTTTAGAAGGTCATAGCATATCAGAAGAGATTTCAGACACATCCTTTAGATAATTTCATGAAAGATATATTATAGATGATAAATAGAAAAAAATCATGTTACTTACATTTTTTAATGGGAAGAAATAACAATGTTTAGAAAGGAATCTAGAATTCCTAGGTAATCACTGAAAATTAAAAAGAAGACATGAAGGCAAGGTTGATGACTGCTTAGAGGCACCATACAGATGAACTGTTTATTGGAGAGAGCTTTGACATGGGGGATAGATGCTCTTCAAGGGCTTCAGAAGGTTCCATCCTGCTCTGTCTGAGGGAGCTGCAAATTCCCTCACATCCTCCTCATTGATCTAGAAGGAGGGCAAAGGTAAGTTCCTCCAACTTCACACTTATCTCAGGCCATAAAATGCACCACCACAGCCCAGACCTAGAAAATATTGAGACCAAAATTCAACTAAAATGCACATACTTCCAAAGCAAATTGCAACTAAGAGCTGGGACCTGGAATAGAGTGGGGAAATGCAAAAGGCAGATACCATGTAAAAGTACATACTTTTACTAAATTTATGCAGTGATTACTTCCTAAGGCACATAAATGAATAATATAAATATGAGGTATATATCACTCTGTTGTAAACATGAAACTAATATAATATTGTATGTTAACTACAATTAAATTTTCTTTTAATTTTTTAATTACAAAAAAAGAATATATACTTAGGAGTTAGAAGCATTTGAGATCATTTCCTCCCTGAACTGCCATTTTCTTGATGAATAGCCTTGGTGAGTTACATAACCTCTTTGGGTCTTATTTCTTCCTTTTGCAAAAATGAGGTTAATAATAATTACTTTGCATTAAAGTAGTTAGGAGAACTAAAATTAAATAATGTATGTAAAATCTTGTAGCATAGTGCTTAGCATTTAAGTGTTTATTTATGTGTGCATTAGTTTAAGAGTTAAGTTAAAAAAGATTTTAGTGAACTCACCACTTCTGGAATTTTCTAGACCCAAAGCTATTTTCACCCCTGGAGAGATAATTCCAGGCAGTTCTGAAGTGAAAAGGGCATTGATCAGCTATGGGCTCCTCTGTTCATCAGTGCTCATTGTGTTGTGGATCCTGTTGTGTTGTTATTAATGACCGTAATAACACTAATTAATATTTGTAGAATTTGTTCAAGCACCTTCCTATTCTTTATAAACACCAAGTTGTTGTGAGAATAAATGAGATCCATATAAAACCTGGCCCAGAATAAATGCTCTATACATTTTATTTCACAGTTTAGAAAGTGGGCTGAAAGACTCTAACCAATTTGAAGCTATACAGCTAAGCAACAGATTGCACAATTTGGTGCCAAATTCTGAGCTTTTTCTACAACACAAATGCCCTTATCACCTGGTAGAGAGGTTGATGCTGTACTAGGGGAACATTTGCATGGCAGTTAGCATTTGCAAAATGGCCCCAAGATGCACTGTTTAAAGTTAGTTGTCCCACCCACCCCTCAGTCTGCACTTCTTAAATGATTTGTGTGAAAACAAGAACAAAAGCTGGTATGTGAACCCAAATCTCTTTGGCCACCAGCTTTCTCCCTGTATCTTTTCCTAGACAAGCCTACCCAACACTTGTCTAAATTTTTTGTCATATGTCCTTAAAAACAAAGTTCCTAGAGTCCAGAAACTGCCATTTATTTAATCTACACACATCATCTTCTGATATACAACTCCACACACCCACATGCACACACTGACACATGCTATCACATTACACAATACTAGCACACAGAGGCTATAAAGTCACTGTTGATGACTGCCTCATACCTGCAAAGATTGAACTTTTACCAATATGTCATAGGGAATAAGGTCAATAATATTGTAATGAGTCTGTGTGATATCAGATAGGTACCAGACTTATTGGGGTGATCACATTGTAAAGTGTATAAATGTCTAGTCACTATGTTGTATACCTGAAACTAATATAACAGTGTATGTTAAATGTAATTAAAAAATAAATAAATTTTAAAATGAACTATTATATTTTATTCATCAGGTAAAAGAATAAGAGAAACACAATAATAATGAATTCCAGATTGAGTGACTATATAAAGTGAGCAGCGGATAATAGCAGGAGACTGTGTGTGTGGCTATTAAGTGCTCAGGCTCTGGCTGGGTGGAAGCCTCTCTCTCCCAGTTCCTTGCTCACTGCCTTGAGAAAACTGCTCAACCTTTCTAAATGCAAGTGCCTCCTCTGCCTATGAAACAGGAATAACTGAACAGCTCTCATAAGGTTGTGGTGAGAATTAAATCAGACAATTACTGTAGCAAACATGACAATTCCTGAAAGGTGATAACTGCCCAGAAAATGTTAGTTTATATAATGTAATCATCATCATCATCATTGAAAAACCACAGAAACAATAAGGAAACAAAGAAAGAATAAATGATGAGATTTGAAAAATCCCTGGGATCAAAAGAATAGTTACTTTTGTACAAACAAGCAAGCAAAATATAACCAAAGACATATAGAGAAATAGGGCAACATATTTCCCCTGAAATAGAGAACAGGGCAACAGTGACCAGAGGGGAGAGGGGAGGGAATTTCAGAGGGAAAAGAAAAAGGGTTTATAGGAACTAGTATAAAGGACACATGGACAACAACTAAGGGGGATGGAAATGGGAGTGAGGTGGGGAGCACCTGGGAGGTGAGCTGGGATGGGAGTAAAAGACAGGAAACTGTACTTGAACAACAATTAAATTTAAAAAAATTTTTAATTGAAAAAAAAAGAGCAAAATAACAAAAAAGACCAAAAAAAAGAACAGTTGCTTTTGTAGATAGCTTTGTGGCCTTTCAATGTTTTTGCTCCACTCACAAAGTATTTGTTGTGCCAGGCAATGTATTTGATTCAACAGATAGTAATGAATAAGACAGATATGCCCCTACCCATTCATGAATTATATTCACCAAAATATGGTACTACAAAGTAGGTAAACCCACTTGGCAGATAAGAAAACTGAGAACTGAAGAAGTTGAAACTTAAAGGTAAACACTGGAACCTGAGATTAATTCATTCATTCAACAAATATTGAAAGCCTTCACCTGCTAGCTTTGTTAGACACTAATCAACATACAACAGTGACTCTCCACAGAGAAAAATGCTTACTCACATGTAGTTTGCTTTCTAGTTGTGAGAATTAGACAACATCAAATACATAAAACATAGTACATCTGACAGTGACAAATATTACATGGAATAATAATCCAGAAATTGGAGGTCAGGAGTCCAAGTCCAATTTTAAGTAGAGCTGTCTGGAGAAGTCTTCCCAAGTAGGTGATACATGAGAAAAACAAAGGATGGAGAAACTAAGGAATGACATATTTGACAAGGGTCTATCTAGGACTTCGATCTGCTCAGGGCTTTCCTAAGAGCTGCCTTTACCTCCTTATTTCTCAGGCTGTAGATGAGGGGATTCAGCATTGGGGTCACCACTGTGTAGACCACGGACACCACTCGGTCCCCTCCAGAGGACTGGCCAGAGTTATCCCGCAGGTACATGAAGATGAGGGTGCCGAAGAACAGCGACACGGCGGTGAAGTGGGAGGCACAGGTGGAGAAGGTCTTGGCCCTACCCCCAGCAGAGGGGATCTGCATAATAGCCACAATGATGAACATATAGGACACCGAGATCACCAATATACAAGCAGGCATGACAAAAATGGCAAACACAATAATGACCACCTCCTGAGTGAAGCTTTCCCCACAAGTGAGTTTCAACAGAGGAGGGAGGTCACAGAAAATAAAGTCAATCTCATTGTTTCCACAAAATGTGAGTGTGAAAGCTGTGACCGTTCTCACAAAGGCACTGGCAAAACCAGCACCATAAGCCCCAGCTACTAAGCCCCGGCGGGCCTTCTGCGTCATGATGGTGACGTAAAGCAGGGGTTGGCACACGGCCACATAGCGGTCATAGGCCATGATTGCCAGGAGGTAGCAGTCAATAGATGCAAAGAAGGTGAAGAGGAAGAACTGAGCTGCACAGCGAGCCTGCGAGATGGCTGTGCCGTGGTCCAGCAGCACAGCCAGCAACTGAGGCACGATGGAGGAGGAGTAGCACACGTCGACGAAGGAGAGGTGACCAAGGAAGAAGTACATCGGGGTGTGGAGCCGACGATCTTTGTGGATCAGGATGACCATTCCCGCATTCCCCAGCAGAGTGACCAGATAGAAACTAAAAAATATCAGGAAGAGAGGCAGCCCCCACTCAGGATGTTCAGTGAATGCAGTAAGGAGGAACTCTGTCAGGAGGGTGTGATTCCACCCAGCCATCCATTCAGTGGTGTGCTTGAAAGGGCTAAAACAAGAGTCAGGTGGGGGGAAAGTTCAAGTCATCTTCAAGTAATAAAGCTTAAAATTGGGTGTCCAACGTGTAGGCACTTGACTTCAACAATCTGCAGTGTAATGTGGAAGTAGATAAATACAGAGCTCACTCCAATATAAGATAAAAAGAGATGAATGCTTTCATTATACTAAGAATGGAGAGCCAGTGATTATCTGCCTTACAAGTCAGCCCTTGTATTTGCATCTTTGTCCCCAATTAGCTGTTTGATCTTGTACAAGGCACTTAACCTCTCTGAACCTCAATTTCCTCTTCTGCCAAAAGGGAATCATAACATCTTCTGTGCTTTATGAGATAAGGTTAATGCATAGATTAAAACAGATGAGAAAATGCTCTGCAAAGCTAAAGGCACTCCACATGGATACTGTGGCTATTTAAAATTATAAATGAACATTTTAGGGAAGGAAAATTGATATTCTAAAAACAAAAGAGCATGAGCAAATAATCCATTAGCAATCAGTAATGGGCTCTGTTGGGGAATATTTCTATTTTCAGTCTGGCAACATAAATGTTTAACAACAGCTATTATCTTAATTAGAGCTGGCTGGCTAATCAAGGGTTTTTTGCTTTTTTGTTTTGTCTTGTTTTCTGAAAGTACTAGCATTAACCTTGGAATCGAAAGAGCAAACATTAGCTCATTTTAGCACCTAGCAAAGCTCCATAACCATTGTCTGGTTGTTCTCACAGTCTTAATAAAAGCAGTAGTTTGATGACACACGGCATTCGATTTGGAACACAGAGAAAGCTGGTATTATCTAAATGTTTTGAGGGGAATCTGAATTCATGGATCTCAGGGTCCTAAATAGAGTTCTAGAATAGGCTGTAAAGGACAGCTTTGATCATGTTTGATTACCTGATACAGCGACAATCAGGTCAATACTGAGCTAACTCATTAGGGATAACAAAGAAAAGAAATTCTGAAAGCCATGAGCTGGGCATCAACCATCCTCACCTGAATTCTCCTTGCTAGTGCCTTCCTCCTTTGTTTAACGTTTCCTCTGCTGGTAACCTGCTGATCCGGAGGATACCTGGGTTGTAGTTCACCCACAGTAGATATGTGTGCCCGGGCAAGTCACTTTTCCTCCCTGGACTTCAGTTGCTTTATCTAGTTAAGAGGGACCCACTCCCAGGACATCTATGTCCTATTCTCTCTTCATGGAATTTCTCTCTTTCCTTTCAACCTTACCAAAATAATACATCCCTGGCACTAGGGTTCCCCGGGATTTTGTTCAGACCCAGCCCAGGATAGTAGGGCTAGAAGACTAGCTTCTTTCACCGAGCTTCTGATCCAGCACTAGACTTTGCTAGTGGTGCTTTTGTAATAACTGCACCAACATCATGCACTAATTGGTTCCCGAGGTGAGTCTCCAAGGACAGGCAATTTATCTTCATGTGACTTCCTAACAAGGCATCTAATATCGTTGAAAATTTCTCTTTCATTTCAAACTTCCAAAGTTCTACCCCATGTCCTGCCCTTGCTCAGCAAGGGATCTGAGGAGGCTGATTTCTGTTCTTGCCTCATCCCTACCTTATATCATTAAAATAATGATAATAATAATTTCTTCAAAGGTTTCATATATCTCATTTGGAAATTTTTTCAAGGATTTTGCACAATGATACCCTTCCTTCTGTGGTCTGATTTCAAAATTAGGCTGTTTTTGGTTTGGTTTGGTTTTTTAGTAAAACGTTTGCTCTTCATCACAAGACACACTGTGACTCTACAAGTTCACTTTAATAGTGCAAGCACAGGAATTGTGAGAAGAAATGATAGAAAAGCAGTGTGAGCAGGTCATGAACAGACTTCTACTAGGCAAACTGAGCAAATTGTTAATGGAAACCAACCTCTCCTCCAGAGTACTGGCTCTCAAACTTCAGTGTGCATAGGATCACCTAAAGAAAGTATTGAAAATGTGAATACTATCATCTCACCCCCATAAATTCTGATGCAATGTGTCTTCCATGGAACAAGGCCTTAGGTTAACTGTCATCCCAGGTGGTTCTGACACAGCTGATCTCCAAAAATTATATCTAAAGACAATGCCTTGGGAAGCATTCTCAGGAGCTCTAACCCTGCTTGACTTTCTGTGCATTGTTGCAAACTAAAATATTAAAGGTGTGTTCTTAAAAACCATGATTTCTTCAAAGTCCCATCAGCACCTTCCTCACAGGAGACCTAAGATAGCCAGGGTGGGTTCTCTATTATAAATACAAAAAACTAAATACAGAGAAGACTGTGCAGCTACTTGCTGCTAAAACAATGACTTAAACTGGGTCAGTGCTCTGTTGAATAATCCTGTTCAGAGGAAGGCACAGGACAAGAGGACTCAAGGGCAGTGGTTCTCAACTTTGGTACAAATCAGAATGACCTGAGCTGGGGAGCTCTGAAAATCCCAAGCTTCAGTGTGTACCCCTTCAAATAAATCAGAGCATTTGAGTGTAGAAACTAGATATAAGTTTTTTTTTTTAATGCCAGGTAATTGCAATGTGCAACAAAGTTTGAGAACCATGGCCAAAGGGCTTCTACCCTGCAAAGTCTTGTTTCCCCCAAGTGTCCTAGGTAGAGAATAGGTTTTTTGTTCTTATAAGTTTGGAAATCACTGCATACTATATCCCCACATGGAAAATCATGTTGCATGTCATCATTTTAAAGGATCTAAAGTCCTATATTTAAGAAACCCTGTCAACTTTCTTTAACCCACCACTTAACAAAAATATTTGACCACAGTAGCTCTTTTTCGTTGAAAGCAGGTTAGCATGCTGCAGAACTAGAGCTCCTAAATAAGGATGCTACTTAGGCAGTGCAGCTCCAAAAAAGCTCAACAATTGACCAAATGCCAAACAGCAAAGAAGCAATCATTCCAAGCAAAGGCATCTCCTGATGACTCATCTCAGTATCTGGCTCTTTTTTAGTCTCTGTCAGACTGGCTGCCGCAAGAGCAATCACTCCTACTGGGAAGGGAGCTGGGAGGGGGCCAGGGGAAGAGCATCGTCCTTCCAGATTGATCCCCATGGGGAGCTATAGTAGAGGAATCCATCTTTCCTTTTAAAAGACTTTTCTTTCTGTTGTTAAGTGGGTCCATGTCTGAGACTCTGCAGTTCTGCTTCATAAACACTCTTGACCCTCCCTCACCCCACCCCAAGTGAAATAAGCTGCTGAGGCTATCAGAACCCTACTCTCAGGAAGCTACAGTAGAGTTTAAAACCATTTTCAAATAATTATTAAGCTTGTCATCATGAGGCCAGACCTAGAAAAGCAGCAGAATGAACGTTATAAAGTATAGATCAAGACTTCGCATATTGTGAGTGATGAGACTTATAAAACTAAAGTAAAATAAATTTAAAGATTTTGTCCTCAGAACTGTAGATCTGACCAGCTTTGGTTTGCTGATTTAGAGATTTGGGGCATGGTGGGAGCTGAGCCAAAATGTTAAATGGAAATCCAATAAGGTAGTAAGAGCAAAAACTACCTAAGCTGCTTACTATATGCCATATCTCTTTCTAAGATGATAGATGATAGATAGATAGATGATAGATAGATAGCTAGATAGATAGATAGATAGATAGATAGATAGATAGATAAGTGATAGATTGATAGATAGATAGATGATAGATAGAGCTCATTTAATCCATGCAACAATCCTATGAGTTAGGTACTATTATTATCACAATTTTAAGCAGACAAGAAAATTTAGTGTTGAAGTAATCACTAAACACTCTAGTGTATCATAGAGAGTTGAAGTGGATCACCACTAGTCCCACAGTAAGAGGCAGAGCTAGGGTTTGAACCCAAGTAATCTGAATTCAGAATGCACACTCTTAACTCCTATACTACATCCTCAGGAGGATGTCTATGAACTTCATGTTTGGGAATAGTTGAGAAGTTTTTCCTGTACATTTGTATTTTCTTTCTAGCCTTTTAGAAAGAAGAGGATAGGGCTTAGAGATGGGACCGAAGTTGAAGAGAGAGGATATTGTGGTAGAAAATTCTTGAGGTACTTGGCCAGGCCCTTGCTCCTTCTAAAAAGTGTTGCAACCATGCTGAAAGGTTGAACTTAGCACCCCCTGTGGCTCCATATGGTCTCACCTTTCTCAGCACTTGTGACTGGATGAGGAGAAAGGTCAATGGGTTGATTCCAGTATTAACACTTTCCTCTTCCAAATAACTTAGGACTTCTGACCAAGATGGAGGCATAGGTAGATACACTTTGTCTCTTCACACAACAAAAAAGACAACGACAAATTTAAAAACAAAAAAATAACAAAAACTAGCAGAAAATCAAACTTTATGGAAGTCTGACAGCCAAGGAGTTAAAGAAGAAATATTCATTCGGACTGGTACAGGGGGGCAGAAATGGGCAGCCAGGATGGAGCAGACTTCTGGCAAGGCTGTGGCTGGTAGACTGGGTGGTCCTACATTTGCATGTGGATAAACAGGGAGGAATAACTGGGGAGCAAGACAAACCATGCAACCCAGGATTCCAGTTGGAAACTAAAGCCTCAAAACCTTTGGCTGTAAAAATCTGTGGGGGTTGAGGCAGTGGAAGAAGCTCCCAGCCTCATAAGAGAGTTAGTTTGAGAGACCCACAGGGTCCTAGAATGTACACAAACTCAGCCACCCAGGAAGCAGCACCAGAGGGGACCAATTTGCTTGTGAGTAGTGGTGGAAGTGACTGAAAATGGGCTGAGAACTGAACAAGTGGCATTGTTCCCTCTGTGACTCCTCCTACCCATACAGCACCACAATGCAGCAAAGTGCTTTGATCCACCCTAGCAAATACCTAAGGCTCTGCTCCTTACAATGTAACAGGTGCACTGAAACAAAGAAATATGGCCCAAATGAAAGAACAGATCAAAACTCAAAAAACAGAACTAAGTGATGAAGAGATAGCCAACCTATCAAAGTTCAAAGTTTGGTTGCAGAGTTCAAAACACTGGT